AGTCAGTCCTGATCCCAGAGAGAAATTAAAGGAATGCTGAACTTGCTCAAGTTATTCAAACTCCAGTAAAGGGAGCCATTCTCCATAAGGGCAAGGAACATGGGGATACTACCCTAAGAATCAAGGGACCACACCTCTGCTTCCCACAGACAGGACAGTGGCACTGCATGCACTCTTCTTATCACCTGGCCCCAGGTCACTCACCATTGCACTGGCTGCCAGTTGGGCAGGAATGGTCTGAAGCCTGTGATGCACTCAAAGGCCAGTGTGCCAAAGCTCCAGTAATCCACTGTCACCGTATACTTCTGCTGTTCCAGCAGTTCTGGAGCCTGAGGCAGTTTACACAAGTATAAGACAAAGCCACCCATCTCTCAGCTCTCCCCACCCCTTAAGAGCTCATTAACACTTCTTTTACATTAAAGACCATGCTGAAAGCTCTGCACCCCAAATGCACCCCATGCCAGAACAACTACTTCATCCCAGCCCCAAGCCAGATTACACTGTTAACTCTGTCCCACAACAAAGTGGGAGCTGATCTTCTAGCTGAATTCCTTCCTTACCAAGTACTGCAGTGTCCCAACAAAGGATGTGCATAGGCTGCCCTGATCCAACTCCTTAGCATAACCAAGGTCAATGATTTTGTGTATTAACTGAAACACAAAACAGAGAATAAGGACACTAGAGTAAAGTTTTTGTTTGTTTGTTCGTTTTTAAAGTACACCACACAGCAGAGAAAGAAAAAAAGGTTCAGCTCTTCAAAGGTATGCAGGAAAGGTGCCAGTGAAAAGATGAAAGTAAAAATGGGAAGCTCCTGTAGATTCCTAAAACCAAAAGGTATGTAAAATTGTCGTTGGCTTTATACGGACATAGCTGGAAACATTACTTGTAATTCAGATCTTTACCCAATAGCTAAGGTCAGGTTCTTTCCTTAGTAGCTGAATGTCATACTGCCAGGTGTTAAGAGAAGTCTAACTCAGCCACGCACAAAATACTGCTCAACTGACACACAGATCTGAGCCAGCTGTTACCCTATGTCACTCTTGCAGAGTGACCACTTCAACTGCAGCAAGCACATCCACATCTTCCTCTTACTTTACATTGTCTGTGCAGGCTGAGACACCAGGTTCCTGCTTACCCTTTGCTCTCCTTGCTGCAGCACAATGTTCTCTGGTTTCAAGTCTCTGTGGATGATCCTGTTCTCATGAAGGTACCTGAGAGCAGACGCTGAGACACAGAAAGAACCACTTTTAAGAATGCAACTAACACTATCTAGCATGAGCTCAGTAAACTTTCATTTCTATGTGATGTAAGCATTGCTTTTGAGTCAAATCTTGCACAATCAACAAGATCATTGACTGAACAATGAAATGCCATGTTCAAGAGGAAAGCTTGACATCAAACTCTTCTGGACACAGATTTGTTCTCTTGGCAGATACATTTTTGAAGTTAAAGTAGATTCACTTCTCTTCAAGTCTCTCCCTTCCCATGTACTGAAGGTTAAAAAACATAATAAAAGCTGTGCAGAAGTAAAATATATCTAGTCACTAGAAGAGTGTCTGTATCTTCAACAGTCTTAACCTAGGATCCAAAAGGTGCTCTGCCCAACACTTTCTGTCCTATCCTGTCCACAAAGCATTCTTCTCCCCACTTCACCTTCAAAACTCCTCAAAAATTTATGTTTATGTCCTGCTCAGGACCAATGTGACATCACAACTAGCAGGTTGACGAATTCCATCTATACTAGGAAGACCAAAAAAAAAAAAAAAAAAAACTCATCTTAAGAATACAAAGCGAGAAAAAATGCCCTCTATTTCTTTGTACTTGCTCGAAGTAATACTTTAAGATATTTCATTTTTTCGGAATAAAAAAGCACGTTGCTAGAAAAAACAAAAACTTAGTAATATTTACAGTTCCAGAGGGCTTTTCAGCTGTGACTAAAACTTGTGCCAAAGGGACTCACTTTTTGATCTCCAAGTCTTAGTGTCCCTTCTGACTGCATTCCCAGACTGAGCTCTCCTGTTCAGCATGAAATGATTCAGCTAGACTTTCAGGAGTAATCAATAATATAATATTCTTCTAAAGGTCAGTAACCCTAGAAAGACCAACTATGCTTGCACTGTAAGGGATCTGTAAAACAAGTTATATCGACTGTTGGAAACATTTCTGATCAACTACAGTTCAGGTTGTACAAGTGGAGATTTAGATCTGTCCCTCTTCCTAAGCACAAACAGGCATAGGAACACAAGCTTCACTCTAAACACGATCCACCATTGCCTCCAGTCAGCCCTCTGTATCATTTCCTGGTGGTTCAGAAGTGAAATGATCAGACAGCAGAGTACAAATGCTTTGTGAACACAAAGGATGGGAGATTCTGCCTAACAGTCGTATCCACAGTAGAAGTAATGACAAATGCACGTTTCTTCTCTTGCCACAAGCTCACCTTCTAATCATGCACCTGCCCCAAAAACAGTTTTCAATAACTTCTCTACAAACCCCGATCATCTATCCAGTTTTGCCTCAGCTTTGACTCAGTAAGATCTTGGTGTAGTCTAAACAAAAATCTCAGTCCCAAAAATCTCTAGACAGCTCTCTCAGTAACCTTTGCAGTCATCTTTTTATTATTCTTTTTTGTCTAAAATTCCACATAGTGTTTGCCCAAATGCTAATGGAAACCCACTTATAACAAACACTGAAGTGCTGGTCATTGGCTGTTGAGCTGAGTGGAGACTGATAGAACAAAAACTAAAGGCTGGCTCTCTTAAAAGGAGAATTGGCAAAGCAAAACAGGCAACAACTATACTGCTTAAGGGGTCTTATCTAACATAAGAGTTCAACAGGTCACTGCTGCAGTAGTGACCCCTTTGAAGTGCCCCCTTGAAGGGGCTTCCAGGGTTCAGACTACTGAAAATCAGCTACCACTTACCAATATCAGATAATAAGATGAGAATCGCTTCCTCCCGCAGGCCACAGCAATTCTCCAGCTGATTCAGGTACTGAAAGAAAACAACACAGAATATAGTCTCTCCATCCTGTATCCTGAGGAAGGATGTCAGTCCCACAAGCTCTCACGAACGCAAGAAGCTCCCGAAACAGCAATGATATTTTCTACGGGCACAGAACTTCGTGGAACTGGGACCTCTGGTAGTAATAATTACAGCTTTAGGCCTTAGCATATCCGTGAGATAAGAAAGAGTGGGTGGAAAAAGTCAGCATAATGGCCGCCCTCTTCCTTCTACTTGCTGTGTCCTACAACATAGCCATTTCCCCTGGGCCTGGCTACATCAGCTCTGAAGTCAGATATAAGTTCTGGGTTTCATCTATGGGCACATTATAGCAAAGGTTAGAAAAACAGTAAGATTAGAATTAAAACATGGGTCTTATTTTCTTTTTTTTTTTCCTCCATCTATGACAGAAAGGGGTTTATCACTGTCAAGAAGGATACTACCCACAGGAAGGCCCGGCCCTTTGATGGTCCTGGCCATACTCACATCCTGTAGCACATCCCTCATGCGTACCCTCATCCTCTACATGCAAAATCCTTGCACTGTCCTTTGCAGCCAAAGAAACGCAGAAAGTTTCAGAAAGCACTGAAGTTTTCAGAAGCAGAACTTTATCAAGGACCAATCTGTCAGACCTTGTTGGTGCCATATTAACAATTAGGAAGCTTCAAGATGTGAAAATACATTTTTACAGGGTTGGTTCTGAAGAGAAACCCCTAGGCTCCATCTTGCCAAGAAGCTGATTCATGCTTTTTCCACTGTCACCATCACCATGCCAGTGACCTCACCTTGCGGAGGTCTCCGCCTTGGCAGTACTCCATAGCCAGCAATGGCAGGTCATTGGGTGCAAGCTTCTGCATTCCCTCGGGAACATCGCGGGCAGCCACCACGTTGGGATGGTTCAGCCTGAGGAATGGAAGTGAGACAAGTACAGGTGATCACCAGAACCAAGGCAAACACTTTCTGCAAGAGCTACGCAGTCTCACATATTCACAGTCACCACGTGAAGTCCTACAGGGATACGAATCCCTCGAGAAGCTGAAATACTGAATTTTACTGCTCTACAATTCATCCATCCTTCGTGGACCCGGAGACTCATCCCAATTCCTTGCTTCCCGCGTGCAAGCTGTGCTTTCTCTCAACGGAAACACACGGGAGATCTGCTTGGAAGCTACAGGACGACACCCTGCTGATCCGAGCCGTCCGACACCGGCTGCTGCCATTCCCCGGACGAGCCCCGAGCCGGAGCCGTGCCGCCCCACGCGAGCGGCCCAGCCCCGAGGCAGAGCAGGAGCGCTGTGCTCCGCGGAGCGGCGGCAGCGCAGCACCGAAGACGGCGGCGGGACGGCCGCAGGAGGAAGCCCCCGAGTCCGAGGAACGCCGGAACCCCCCCCCCCGCGCCGGGACTCGAGAGCCGGCCCCGCCCGCCCAGCCCCAGCCCGGCGGCGCCAGGCCGCGCCCCGCCGGGCCGAGCCGGGCCCCCCGCGCCGCCGCCTCACCTCTTCATGATCTGGATCTCCAGCGCCCAGCGCTCGCGGTTGCGCGGGCTCAGCTCCTGGCGGCACTGCTTGATGGCCAGCTGCTCGCCGCTCTCCTGCGGGGACAGCGCGGGCCCGGCTCAGCGCGGGCCGGGCCGGGTCGGGCCGTGGGGGGGAGGGGAGGGGCGCCCGGCGCCTACCTTGTTGTGCCACCGAATGACGTTGCCGAAGCCGCCGGTGCCCAGGCGCTCCTTCATCTCCCAGGGGCCGCAGGTCTGCGCCTGCAGGGCCGGCGGCCGGCTCATGGCGGGGCCGCGGCGCCCAGGCTGCCGGCGCGGCCGCTTCCGGCTCCGGCCCGGGCGGCGCGAGCCCGCCCTTAAAGGAGCCGCGCGCACCCCGCCCCCCCCCTCCGCCAGCCCTCGGCTGCGCCTCACGCCCCGGGTCCCGGCCGAGCTCCGCGGGGCTCACGGAGAGCTCCCGGTCGCCGCTTGCTTCCCGTGCGCGTCCCCCAGTTCTGCAGGGCGCGCAGAAACCTCCCCGACAGCTGTGCCGGCCGGCACGGCAAACGCTGCTGCAGGGCCTGGAGAGAGGCACCGCGGGGACCACGCTCCCTCCAGCCCCAGGGAGGCTCTGCCGGGCCCGCGCGTGCCAACGAAGCCTCCGAATTGGGCTGATCGGAGCGTAAAAAGGCAAAGCAGACTGAAGATGGGCTGAGCTGCTTGGCCCAGGGGGCGGCCCAAAGACTAATCAGAGGCCAGTAACTAGCAGCGTACCACGGGGGTCAGTACTGAGCCTGCCTCTGTTCAACATCTCCATTAACGTTCTGGATGATGGGGCAGTGTACTTGATACGTTTTCAGATGAGAAAACTGGAATGAGTGGCTAATGTGGCAGAGGGTTGTGCTGCCATCCAGAGGGACCTGGACAGGCTGGAGAAAGGAGCTGGCAGGAACCTCAGGAAGTTCTGCATGGAGAAGTGCAAAGCCCTGCCCCTGGGTAGGAACAACACCAGGACATCCCAGGGGCCACCTGTCCAGAAAGCAGCTAGGCAGAAAGCGACCCGGAGCTCTCCTAGAGGGCACCAGGCTGAACATACACCAGCAATGTGCTCTCGACTGTAAAGAATGCCAACGGTATTTCTGGGCTGCGTTAGGCAAAGCATTGCCAGCAGGTAAAGGAGGGAGGTGATCTTTCTCCTCTGCTCAGCACCAGTAAAGCCACTCCTAGAGTGCTGCAACTGGTTCCGAGCTTCCAAGTACAAGAGAGACATGGACATACTGGAGACAGTCCAATGAAGGGCTACAAAGATGAAGGATATGGTGCATTCTGCTATGAGAAAACGCTCTGAGGAGAAGAGATGGCTCAGGAAAGACCTTATCAAGGTCTATAAATACCTGAAGGAAGGGTGCTAAAGAGGACAGAGCTGGGTTTAACAAACCCAGCCTTAAATTCAGTTCTAAAACCACTCCACTCGTTTGGATTTTTCTGCCACACTCCGACAATGTAGTGCTTTGGGACTGTACCTTGATTGAGCAGTTTCGTTTTCTAAGAGGACAGTATCAGTCAACATTTAACTCTCTGGTCCTTAACATGCTAGTCCTTATTTCTAACCAAGAATCCTAAGTTTTGCTTATCGTCCCCACTTAACCTGGGAATTCCTTTGACCACTTCTCCCAGCAGCACTGTTCATGGCATGTTTTGCTCCACTTACCGGTCAGGGTCTCTGTGCCAAAGATGGATGTCATTCTGACGTAGCACACTGCTTTTGATTGAAGCAGGAGTTTCTCAGTACGAGGACTAAGCCTACAGACCTATGGCCATGTTAGAAATAAAACATTCATGCATTCATTTTGGGCGCTCCCTAGGCCATTCTTCCCTCACATTCCTAAAAGCACAATGAGACAGTTCTTCATATGGGATACTTACTATTCTCACTCTCATTGAAGCTTAAGTTGTTCAACGCAGAAAAAAAATGTTTTGAAGACTGAATTTGCTCTTGGACTGGAATAAAGTATGAAGAAAGCAAACTGGCTGTAAAATCCAGTATTATGCCCTCCTGACATTGGCAAGCAAGCTTTTCTCCTGCCACTCCACCCCCAAATATTCCCTAATGCTCTGGACACGAGCCACTCCTCCTAGGTCATCCCAAGATCCTGGCTGCTATCTTTTCTCTTGGGAAGGGAGGGGGGCGGGAAGCACACCCTCCTGCCCTCTTTAGTCTCCACCCCTTTCAGAGGAGTTTTAAGACGGGAGCTGATCAGAAAGATCATAACAGAGACGTGGAAAACAGAAAGAGGCTGGTCTGGGAAAGAAATCATCAGCAGAAAATAGGAGAGAAAAAAAGCAAAAAAGGTATGTGCTACTCTACACCTGTTTCAAAAAGTTCATTTCCTATTTTCAACGTTATTGGCATTATCATTAAATACTACTAAATACTGTTTAATAAAACCTACTAGGGTATCATGGTAGTTAACTAGCAAAGCTATTGCTTTTCAGCTTCAGAAGATTTATAATGCTGGATAAAACTTTCAGCTTTCAGTTGCTTCAAGAAAGCCTCAGCAAGCTATTCCAGGGAAAGGGCAAATGGCCTCAGGCTCTGAACAGCTAGCAGGGAGGAGCCTCCTGCACAGAGAACATTTTGAAAAAGAACTAGCAAAGGAAGAGTTACAAACATTCCAATAGTAAGGAGAAGCCCCGAGAGCCAGGCGTGAAAGGACAATTCATTGTCTTCCCGGGAGATCAGACTACACATTTCACCCCAGGCTCACAACCAGGATAATGGAGGCACAAAGGGGAGGAGGAGGGCGGGTTGTCTTCAGTTCTTCCTAAACATGGTTCTTTTCTAATGACAGGAAATATTGAGAATGATTCCCCAAAGGAAGCCAGAGCTTGAAATGCCCGTTTTCTCCACTGCCTTCAAAGACTTCAAAATTTTAAATTATTTTCCCCAAAAGCAAGCGCTTGTCCACTGTGATATTCTAAAGAAAAGCAGTACAAGCCTGATACTCATCTGCTCAGTTTAGAAAAGGGATATGGCAGCACTTTCTCCAAAAGGCAGGAAAAGGCATCAAGGACCTGCAGTCCTTTGATCTAGACCAAGACGGTGGTTTATAAGCAAGGGAGCTGCTAATGCTATGGATTCAGAATCGAAGCAAGTATTCTACATGTATACCAGGTGACTAGAAGGGATGGGTGGGGGAAGCTACCTTTACTTGCTACCAATGATGTTCTGTTTGACCTTTATAAGCTATGCCCCTTTTTTAGGTCTTATGCCACATCTGTAAAATAATACACTCTCACTTCTTAGAAGAGCTGTTATTAATAAATTAATAGTCAAAATATGCAATTTAAAGTATTGAGGTATATGCTACTAGCACAATACCTGTACCATGTGCAACAACTCACGACTTGCTGATCTATGTGGTTAGCATGGAATATCCAATCTCCAGTGAAATACTATAACACGTTAGTCACAATAATGTTTTTCCAGCTTACTCCATTCCTTATTGGCTATCATAAAAGGCATACATTAATAAAAAAAAATGTATAGAACTGGCTCTGTACAAGCAGAAAGTCCTCGTTGCAAGCCTGGTTATCTACTTTATCAATTCACTCCATTCTTTAAAACCTTCATACTGTTTTTAAAACTTTTGCTTTTAGCCAAGCCTCCTAATTCATCCTCCTGAGTTCTATTTCCCTCTTCTCTCTGTTTCTCTTTCAAAGGGCAATACTTCCTTATTACTCACATGTCTGAAGTGTGATTATGAACAAAACAGGCAGCTTCTGATTCATTTAGAATTCTAAAAGAATTAAGCCTGAGAACCTCTAAATTTAGGGTATCCTATATCCTTGTTTTACTGTACCTCACAGCATAGAAACAGAACGTCAGAACAACACATCAAGGCCTCTGTCTTATTGCTAGAGTATTTCTTGTTCAGAGAGGAAACAAGATGAAAGCAGCAGACACAAACTGCTTATGAGGGCAGTACCAGAAAGTACATTGGTTGAAGGTTTCTGCCTGGAGTCTTGTAAACATGCTATTTTTCATAGAGCCATGTGGTTTCAGTTTGATAGGGCTTATCATTCAGAACATTCCAATTGACTGGCATGTATCGTACCTTTCTCTGGACTGAAAACAAACATCTGGCCAAACCTGTTACCACTTTTCCTTGCACAGTGGGACACCAGCCACCAATGGACAGACAGGCATGGGAGAGGGGAAGAAGGAAGGAAGGGCTGTAGCACTGCAACATGAGCTAGCCTGAACAGGACGCAGGAAAAGTAACTGGAAGAAAGGATGCAGTATCTGATGCAAGGCAACTTCAGGGATACATTCTGTAGCACTCCACGCTAGCAGTATGTACAGCATAAGACTAGAATCTACTTGTACAGCAGATTATACAGCATAAACTTGATTATAACATTAAGCCACTCAAGTAATTCATAAATAGGGACTCCTTTCATGTCAGTTTCCAAGACTGAAACAGCTCCCTGTTTCTCAACCTCCCTTCCCTCACTAAAACTAGCTATAGTTAGTTTCCTTCTGGTATCAGGAACCTAGGACTTCTTCCAAGATATTAATTAGACCAGCTCTGCCACTCTAATCTCCCCTCAAAAAAGTGTTGCCAGTGTTGCCTTGTTTCGAGAGAATCTTAGCATGTACCTCAGAAATAAAGTCTCCACAGTTCTTCATAGTGCTTCCCACAGAATAATGCTAACAAAGCAGCTCAGTTAGAGTCGTTTCACCTCATGAGTCTTTCATACGCAAGGTCTAGGCTAGCAGAATCTTGTTTCTTAAAGCAGTCAGCAAGAAATTCCAGCCTCCTCCACAGCTGGCAACAAAGGTGACTGGTGGTGCTAATAATTAGCAATTTAAAATCCTGCAGCTGTGAGATTCAGAATGCATCCCTGCACAGCTCCAATAATGAGCAACAGCTGCAGGGATTAAGGATAAGATAACACAGTGTTTGAGCAGCAGCCCAATAACTTCTGTGTGATTTTGGGTTATGCATTGCAGCTTTGGGAGCACCACTGGCTGAGTTCAAATGCAGTTAGCATATTCCCATGAAGTCAATGCCTGTTTGGAAAACTCAGCTTGTTTTTTTTAAAGGCTTGCTGTGTAATGCAAAATGCTTGTTAAGAGGTCAGAAAGGACTTGAAAGTACATGGAGATTACTAAAAAATCTGCATACTAATATATACCCCTGAGAGCTGCTCTGGACCACATGGATTTCATCATTAAGGTATGACCCAGAGACAAGACTTGGAGTAATTAATGCTCTCAGAAGCTGTTCCTATGAACCTCTTCAGTCTGACTTGCAACTTTGTCTCCCCTTCGTGCAGGCTAATCATGAGAAACCACTATCCAGTATGTTGTAGAGCAGCCCTAGAGACTGGGAATGGAAATGAGAGCCCGCCCTCTGCTCTACCTCATCCACATCTCTTACTGCATAAAGCTGCCAAAGCGATTTGAGGGAATAAAACATGCAGTTGTGATCGCATAGAAGTGACACACAGAAAGAAATGCTGTAACAAGGAGAGCACCAGATCAAAAGCTAGCCTGTCAGATGTTCAACATACTCTCAATTTTTAGCAAAAACATATGACAATAGTAGAAACTGAAAGCTCAGCAGGGCCAAAGTAGGGAGAAGCAGTAGAAATACTGAAAAATGAAGACATAGCAACCCACCTATCATCACCACCTACCACAAAGCATCCCCTATCATCACCATAGTCTCCTTGCCAACGCAATCCATCAGCAAGCAGCCCTCACTCTTGCCCAGAGAAGCAGCCTGGGCAGAAAATACAAACCTTTTTAAACAACTGTTATTAGCAGATTTCTGTGCCACTGCAAAAGATCTCTTGGATGGGACTCAGTGACCTGAATCTCAGTTAACGCTTTCTAATCAACGTTTCCTTTATTCCTTTATTAGACAAGTCATCTCTTTAATAATGGGCATGATACTGTTGGCTTCCAGCAGCCTTGGGAAAAAGGACTTTCAATTTTCTTCTACAAGTCTTATTCTCCAGGAAACACGCTCTGAGTTTCCACCAGATCCAAGAGGTTATGCTTTAGGGTTGTAGGGTTTCTACATTTATCAAATATAAGCGCAACCAGGTCCAGCCTGGCAGTTTCCTCTGTTCAGGGACACCAAGACAGCTAAGCCTAATTGCTGAGAACTGCAGGGTAGAAAGTGGGACTTAATGTAAAAAGCATTTTCATCATTTAAAACCTTAATTTAAACTCACTACTTTGAATGTAACTCACTCTGTAAAACATTTTTATTTTTTTTTAACCCTCTATAGATAACTTGAGATCTGGAGATGATGTGGAAAACACTCCAATATCTCCTCCTGCTGATGGGAGCAATCACAATTACTCAGTGCCAGGTAAGGAGGTAAATAATGCTCTTGCCATCCACAGGCACTCAACCTTGTTTTCAGCAGCATTTCCTTGCTAGCGATTCCAGCTGTCTGCATCAGACAAAAGGAGGATCTCATTCTATCACTATAAATCAGAGGAAGCAAAGCCATGTGAACCAGTCTATGTCTAATATGGGATTTCTACTAATGTATTATCCTATCTGGTTTCCATTTCAGTAAGAAAGTCACTTCCAAATCTTCCTTGTGTATCTGTTCAGCCAGATACTATTCACAGTTAGGAAGAGATACATCACAATAACCCTTTAATTTCCTTTCCGTTGACCTCACCTTCATCATTATTCTCATGTACAACTAGCCATTGACGGTTTCCATGTCCTCTCATTCCACGCTTCACATTGCATAGCTTAAATAAACACTGCACAATTCTAAAAAGTTTAGTATCTTCTCAAAAAATTGTTATCCCAGCCTTCCTCTTTCTTTTTATGCTGTTCTTTCTTTTGTGTCCAGTCAAAGAAGTTTTCTAAATGGGTTTCATGCTTAAAACTTCAAAATATTTTATTTAATTGGCTGCAAGAAATTTATCTCTACCTTTCTCCTCTTTCCTCCCACCCCAATTTCAGTACTTAAGCATGATGGATAACAAGTGAAAGGCTTGTGCCAAAGGAAGGATCACATTCCATTGCATACACGTATTCCAGTCCATGCTGAGCTCCTGTTATGACCAGCTAGTAAAATACGCTCTGAAAAAAAATCAAAACTAATCAAGGTACAAAGGCTCATGAGGAAACTGCAAGCAACAGCTGCTGGGCAAAAGTAACTGTTTGCCTATATTTATGTCTCTGGAAAATATTTCCTTGGACCTCCTGCAAATAACTGAAAGCTGACAAGCTAGGAGTTGCAATGCCCTAAAAGTACATAATCACTTCACACCTGATGCAAGTACAACACATCACCAAGTTCACATCACTCAAGTGATAAACAATAACTGTATAATCGGTGGTAATTCAATGATTTGCAGTTTTCAGTACCCTTGCTGAAGTACTGACGGCACTTTTCACTACTCTGATTTGCAAGACCTCAAGAGGAGGACTGTCCCTTCAGGAGGCACTTGTTCTCTCAGTTTTCTTAGGAGAGCAGCTACTCACAGAATTAACCTTCTCTGCTTGCAGGGCTGGCACATGCGTTACAAACGGGGAGCCAGATCTAGAGGTAAGCCAGGCAAAATACAACTGCATTATCTGGAGCTTTATGAGCACAGGACAGAAAAGCAGATGGTGCTGAGGGAATAGAGCCTGAAAGCTGTTTTCCATGGCTTGGGTGGGGGGGGGAGAGGGGATCTGAGAATGGCAGATTCAGAAGGCAAAATACTGGAGTATTAATACCATCTACAGCTCAAAGAGCAAAGTCAGCCCCCCACCCCCTGTTCTTCACTAGCAGAACAGAATATCCAGTAGCATAATAGTGAGAGCGACAGGACAATCTGGGTCTGGGGAGGAGAAAGGGTTGCCTGGACACGATGATCTTTCAAGGTCCCTTCCAACCCCTACAGTTCTGTGATTCTGTTAGACAGATGCTCCCATCATGGATACTTTTTATCCTGGAAAGAGAAAAGAGTTCTTTTGCTAAACCAAGTATTTTCAGTGAATCTCTCTAAAAGAGATTCCTTTCTCTAATTACAGCCATTTGCACAGACTATTCATCTGGAGAAATATACCAGCACAAGGGGAGCTGGCTGAGGCTCTCAAGGAGCCGAATAGAGTACTGTAGGTGCGACAGCGGTCGGAGTCGCTGCCACACTGTTCCCATCAGAGGTGAGTATGAAGAAGAAAAAGAAGGAAAGAGCGGGAGATGACAGACTGTCCATCTAAGTGTTCTAAAGAGCTCCACCGTCAGGGAATGAAATTATCACATGGAAAACCTTGCTTGAAATGAAAGCATTAATATGCACCAAATCAAGCAGAACTAAGGAGGAATGAGCAAGAGGCTGAGAAAGGCTCATAACAGTGAACACGGAGAGAATGGAACAAAGGAAGAATGTGGCACTAAATACGTTTAGGCAGGGGGAAGTAGAGCAGGCTAAAGGAGACTGACAGAAGGACAGGTGGGTACATTGCCAGCTGCTTACTTCTGTGAATTCTAACTGTTTCTTGACTTTTCTTTACTGCACAGCCTGCACTAGAAATAAATGCTACAATGGGGGCCAGTGTTCACAGGCATATTACTCCCCACAGCTCTTCATCTGCCAGTGCCACCAAGGTTTCTCTGGGAAGCAGTGCGAAATAGGCAAGTATAATCTATCAGTTAAAGGGAACAATGCTGCTGGTTTTAGCTATGTAGTGCAGAAAGCAGAGACTCAGAAACTACTGCTGTATACTGGGCTCTCCATTAAGGTGTCTCTTTTCATGGTAAAGCTTTTCTACAAAGAACCTTTGAGAAGGACACCTGGGTTGATCTCAGTGTCTCTCGATAAAACACTAAGTTTTGAAGCTGAAGATATTTGTATATCCTTGCAATTTGCTTGGAAAGACATTTTCACCAACTTACAATACACGGCACCTGGGAGCCAAGTTTAAGCAGAACAAGAGAAGCGGTGTGTGATGCTGTCCTTTCAGTAATGTTTTGTTCCCTTTTGCTCAGATACTGAAGTTAAGTGCTACAAAGATGCTGGAGTAACATACAGGGGCACGTGGAGCAGGACAGAGAGTGGAGTTGAATGCTTGAATTGGAATATTGATGGTTTGATGGACCAGACGTACAGCGGCCAAAGAAAGGATGCTGCTGAGCTGGGATTGGGCAATCACAACTATTGCAGGTGAGGGACTCACGACTCATGTCACAGCTGTAAGAATCTGCCCATTCTGAGAACCTGGGGCAAAAGAGAGGCTGTTTGATACCAGCCACAGAACACTGCATACAGGTGCACATACAGTGCAGTACAAGAGAAGCAACTGCAACTTCTATAGATAGATATCAGCTTCTGATCCATCTAGATTAGATGTTTATGCTGAACTAAAAAATGCATGCCTTTCTCACCTATAGTCTTCCCTTGTGCCCATTTGCATCCTTCTCAGTGCCTAAAACTCCCTTTGCAAGCTAGTTTCCTGCCACCTACGCCTGCAGATCTGCATGCTCCTCACAATTCTAAAATATAATGCTTCCTGCAAATGAACTAAACTGCACAAACAAGTTAGCTAGTCCTGCTACCGGCTGTCTCATCCTCATCTCCACATATTCTTTGCTTTTATAATTAAAATAAGAATACAAATTACTTTTGGTGGTTCCGTCCACTTCTGCACTGCTGAGCAGGATCAAGTTACTGTACTAGATTTGAGACTAATAATGACAGTTTTTTAATGATGCATAATGTCTTTATAATATCGCATAAATGCATTATGCATTAACTCTTTCAGAAACCCAGATGAAGACTCCAGACCCTGGTGCTACATCTATAAAGGGGGAAAGTACATCTGGGAATACTGCAGTGTACCCTCCTGTTCAAAAGGTACATGCAGGACAGGGAATGGACTTCAGAGCTTCCATGACTCACTGCATATATAAGGGTTCTCTGTGGACTTGTGTAACTGAAAAGTTGGTACTGTCATGTTAAATCATGTTTAAGCTTTTTATATTTATGACACAGAGAGACTGACATAAGTAGAGCTAATATATAGATCCCTTGACAGAAATGACAATAGGAACAGCTGATGGTTTATATGCATCAGTTAACATGCAGCTTTCTTATTTAAGTTGGGAACAACAACTGCAAAACTGGAAGAGGCACGGATTACCGAGGCAGTCACAGTGTTACCAGTTCTGGAGCTACCTGTCTGAGGTGGAATTCTCAACTCATTGTCAGCAAGCTATATACTGCATGGAGAAGAGATGCTTACCAGCTAGGCCTTGGCAGTCACAATTTCTGCCGGTATGTATCATTACAGAATGAATTTAATAAATAAATAATAACAGTAAGCTTTCTTGTGGTACTCCTGAGGCAGGGCATGTTCTTTATATGGGTTATTAAAGCCAGGTTATTTAATCCATGTTGTTTACATGGTTTATTAAAGCAGGGGCAATACATTACAGTGGAGAATAAAGCTCACTGCCAATAGTAATTTTCATTCCACTTGACTTGTGTATACTTCCCTAACACTGGACTACATTAATAGAAATTCCACACTGCCCTGTGCTCTTTGTATCTCTAGAAAAAACAAGAAGAATACAGTCAGATCCCCACCTGCTCTCTTCAGGTGTCTCCTTCTCCCCAAAATCCCTGCAAACCTGGTGATTCAAGTTTTTTTTCTCCTTCCTGTGCTGCAGGAATCCTGACAATGACAACAAGCCCTGGTGCCACGTACTGAAAGGAAATCAGCTCACATGGGAGTACTGTAACGTGCCTACCTGTTGTAAGGCTCCTAACAGTCCCAATTCTCCTTTCTTTGAGGCATTACTGTTCAGTGTGTTGCAAGCCTCTTACAGTATAATAAGAGGTGGGGAAAAAAAGCTGCTTGGGATAAATAGGGATTCTGTAGATCAGCTGTTATAGAAGTACCTTATCTGCCAGAAGAGAAGACTGCAGAACTGGGAGACAGAAAAGACAGGGTTTCTTTACTATATTGTTTCAAAGCTATACAAGTTTCCTAAGAAACAGGAATGAGTCAGATACCAAACAGTTGATGCCAGGCTGCCTTGATATGCAGTGACAACTAACAATCTCTTAACTCAAACTCAGTGCAGAGTTCCTGAACACGTTTGTCATCCACAGCCACCTGTGGCACACGGCAGCATAGAGTACGCCAGTACCGCATAAAATTTGGCTCCCGTGCAGACATTGAAGCTCACCCATGGCAAGCTGCCATCTTTGTGAAGTATCGCCGAGTACCTGGAGAGCACTTCCTTTGTGGAGGAATTCTGATCAGTTCCTGCTGGGTTTTGTCAGCTGCTCACTGCTTCGAGGAAGGGTGAGCTGAGGATTCAGTACTGTCTGGGAAATCATATCAAAAATGCTGGAGAATGGAAGCATCAAGGATTAGCCTTACTGGAAGGGTGAAAGACTTGAAAAAGCCATTTACTCCACAAAGTAATTCTATAGAGTTAAACGTGACCAACAATATAGACAGGCAAACTGGCTGTATGGCATTAAGGTACCACAGCAAAACACCAAATAGCTGAAGAACAAAGCTGTCAGTATAGAATGCAGAGCCATCTGAAACTTAGTAACAGCAACAGCCTTACAGAGGAGGCTTGCCAGCGTGGCTCTAAGCAATTACTGCAAAAACTAAGGCAAACAGGACATCTGAGGTTAAACTGCTTGGGCAATGACGTAGTAATAGTGATAAAATAAGCAGAAGTTCCAACAGCACATCTTCAAAGAAAGGGTCCATTCCAGTTAACACAGGAAGAAAGCAAAACTCTTTCATTTTTCAGCTTTAGTACTGATCAGCTGAAGATTGTGCTGGGCAGGACTTCACGAACAACTCCTGAGGAGAATGAACAGAACTTTCAAGTGAAGAACTACATTGTGCATCAGAGATTTGACTCCGAAAATTATGACAATGACATTGGTAAGAACTTCTTCGACATCATGATTTGATAGGTAATGATTTGCTCAAGCTGTATGTTAGTAAAGTAGTCATTTTTTCCCTCTTCAGCTCTGCTGCAGTTGAAATCTGATACAAAAGACTGTGCTATTGAAACAGACGCTGTCCGTGCTGCCTGCCTCCCAACACCAAACTTGCAGCTGCCTGACTGGACTGAATGCGAGATCTCTGGTTATGGCAGAAATGAAGAATGTAAGTAGAAGATACACCGGGTCCAAAGTCAGGTCCCCCTGCCCTCAAAGAATTCAAGCCCTTAGTGTATTGTTTGACGTTTGACCCCCACAAATAATTTTGTGGGCTTATATCAGCACTCCAAAACATACACGTAAGTGAAACACATACAAAAAGAAGTTCTGGTCCAAGTTATTTCATTCATCTGAGATCTGTTAGCAACGTGGGCTAGTGGAGTCTTCCTTGAAACTTTCCAATAGTAAAAACATAGAAAATGACAGAACGTATAAGAGAAAAACTGCAGTCAAAGCTCCTGCATTTCTGCTTTACTGAGATATTTACTGCATTTAATATTAAACTTAGACATTGTCATTCTGACAGAAATCCATTTCTGTTGAGATTTACAGTTGCAGGTAGTTGCATTATTCTAAAAGATACATTTGCTGTGCAGTGATTAGCAAAAAAGCTAAAAAGTTGATGATCCTAGACATATTATAAGGCCAGCTAAATGAATTAGAATAGTTCAGTTGGAAGGGTCTTATGAAGATCATTAAATCCAACTGCCTGAACATTTCAGGGCTAACCAAAAGTTAAAGCATATTACTGAGGGCATTATACAAATGCTGCTTGAACAATGACAGGCATGGGGCATCAATCACCTTGCTGGGTGAAAGGTTTTTAAAAATGAGCTATTTTAAAAAGCACAGCCAAACAAAAAACAGGAATAAAACCTGACTGGAGATATACACTGGCATTTTCTACTTATTTCGTTTTATTCTCTTTAAATTGTAAATGCTGAAGCAGAAATTGAATTGCAAAGTTTTTATAAGTATATATATATTCACGTCCCTTCCAGTTTCTCCCTTCTATTCAGAGCACCTGAAAGAAGGGCACGTCAGACTATTTCCAGCTAGTCGGTGCACAACACAGCATCTAGACAACCGGACAGTTACAGACAATATGATATGCGCAGGAGACACGAGGAATCTTGATGATGCCTGCAAGGTAAAGCCAGCTCTGTTCCTCTTTTCTTTCTAGGTCTGTCCTTTATAGTGTGAACAAACCAAACACAAATCTTCAGAAAATAATTTATTTTCTGCATTTGACTACATGAAATTGTAGTAAACTTCTGTTCAATAGAACAGAACTGCTGGGTCCTCTTTCATTTTTTTTTCTCCTTTTTTTTCTCCCCTCTCCTCATAGCTGAGAATGCAGGCCACATTCAATGAAGCAAATCAGAATACAGACTGAAAATTCCAAATACAGGAAATATCACAAAGCTGAGCAGGAAACTCCACCTCAGCAGGGTTTCCTAATATTTTCTCTTATGTGAGCCACCAAAACATTCATCAGTAGGTTCTGTAAGAGATGTAGGTGCCACTCTACTGGAAAGCGGAGAATAAAATAATAAAGACGAAAAGATAGGAGAGAATGAGCAGCTGTAACATGAGAAACAGGAGAGCACACATTAAATTATAATACCTAAAACAAAGATTGACATTTCTTCAGTTTCAACATCTCTTTAATGTTCATGATTTACTATTACTCACAAGAGTATAAAGCAGCCCGGACCTTTATAGTTTGAACTTTATAGTTGTTGGTTTTTTTTTGCTGTTCTTAACAATGCATCACCTACATTTCATAAATAACTGCCATACGAAGTTAGACACTTTAGTATTAGATTGTTTTCGGTCTCTCCCTGATACAAAAGAAGCACTAACGGAGGCTGCCTGTAACACAGAAGTTGCTTATGTAAAAGTGTTGTTACTAAGAGCGTTAGAAGCACGGTGTCTCTTGATTTGTGAGTATATTAAATGGGATATTTAGGAAAACACAAGAGAAGATACCTAATGCACAATTAAAGGCAGTGAGAGAAAAAAAACAATACAAAACACAAACAAAAAAGGAGATTCTTTACTAACCTAGTACTTCTCTGCAGGGTGACTCTGGAGGGCCTCTGGTCTGCATGAAGGATGATCGAATGCATCTAATTGGAATCATCAGCTGGGGAATAGGTTGTGGTCGCAAAGACATACCTGGCGTTTATACAAATGTGAATCGTTATCTTGACTGGATTCAGAACAACATGAAATCCTGAAGAAGAAAAATGAACTATCCACAATCTTGTGACCATGCCCTTGCAAATTCCTTTGAGGTGTTTTAAGGATATTAACAGGGCATCCTGGTTGCCCAGATGCTTATGTCTGTCTGTGAAAAAGGAAGACCCATGCCATGTGTGGTAAGGTCACATTCTCAAATTACTCCCTTTTCCTCACCACAGGTTATCAGAAGCAGAGTGCTTCCCCTCATCCCCCTTATATCTCCAAGCTTTGTCGTTTCATCAGTCTCATGTGTACAATTGAAAACAAACATTGGCTTGCAAAATTAAAGCTATATTGTTTGGGGAATGGGAGTGAGCAGTAGGCAAAGGGGACAGATTTCATTTCTTGAAGCTTTCATCTCCCTCTTTTGAGGGAACAGGACTCAAACATTGTCAAGGATGCTCAATGACACATGGACATACGTCTTCCATAACACTGCCCCAGGGCATATATGAACATTATTTCACAAAGGGGATTATTTATTATTCAAATTAATTTCCACAAACCCCTTCTCCTCTGCCTCCCCTTGGGGGAATATTAATTTTCTAGCATTTAAAGCATGGGACAGAGAAAAGTTTCTCCCTTTGAACAAGGGGCCAGGAAAGAAAGTTTTGTGATCTCATGTGGAATAACAAGAACATGTTTTAAAAGTGCAATGGAAAGACATGTACTTTCTTATCCAAAACACAGCTGCCTGCATTGAGGTGAATCCTTGAAGGGAGTCTTGAGTTTGAGCCCTTACTTTGCACAGATTCTTTCTAGCTCAGGTTGTTCCCATTTGGGACTCACAGAGCAAAAAGAACATATTGTGTAATAACCACTTCACAAACACACTGCAGTAACATTTTTATTTTTATTTCTTTTTTTTTTTTTTGGGGGGGGGGGAAATGAATAATCTTCTGATGTATTTGTCTATACAATTCTGAATTTCATTTTATTCTTTTTAATACTACGCAGGTATTTTAAGCTGTTCTGTGCTTGTCTGATTTAACAATAAGCTTTCCACCACTGTAAGAACAACTGACAGGTCTAAACTCGTCCACTAAAATATTAGAATCTACACTTACCCACTGAATTTACAACTACACTCTGATTAACACAGGATCAAAAATGGATTTGCAAATAAAAATGTTATTTCTTATTTGGCTCTAAGTTTAAAGTAAATTCCAATCAAGATTAAGTTCTTTCCTTATGAAATTTTACTTCATTATTTAATGAAGTAAACAAAGTAAAATTATTTGATTTTACTTAATTATTTAAGCGGATTTCAGACTCCAATAGATATAGCACAGCTCTAGGTGTGGGCTACTTATTTCCATATCAATGTACAACTTGCTTGTTCAGTTTGGAAAAGATTCATTAACAGAGTCTAAGAGATCCAAACAAACACAGGATTGTTATATGTTATAAAGAAAATGTTATAAAGAAAAGAATTAATTTTAGCTCTTCAGACAACGATTTATTCCCAAGCTTTACAGAATCAATTGTATGAAGACATTCGTCTCTCTAAGGTACCCACTATCCAAGGTCCAGTTGTCATAATTTACCTTCATCCTCAAACTTCAACTGTGCATCTTGTAAAGACCACACAAACCACTCTGAAATATCACAGATGACAGGTAAAAATTAATTTTATTGATGCCCTTGTTGAAGGTGATATTTGCACTGAATATATTCAGCACTAAGGCCACCTGCTGTGGCATTCACAAGTTGAACTGAAAACTGCAATTCCAAAATCAAGATGTCACTCATCCACTGCAAGTAGCCCATCACAGGCAAAACAGAATTTGTGTTAGCCTTCATTTAGGGCCACCTTGTTCTGCTTACAAGCATTAACTACACGTGCTGGACTTCACAGCCACCTGGCAGATGCTGTAGTCCATAAGCTACTGTACATGTAACAAGTTCTGATACCAGAGAAATTAACACATTGGCATCTAGTGGCCGAAGAACACATTACAAACAATAGGGAACAGTGCATATGCCTCATTTTATATTTATGTGTGCTATACAGAGAGAGATGCAGCAGAGACTGGGATGGGCTTATGTAGCAACAGCTCCTGCAGAAGGGATGGTCCCAGTAAGAAATCCAACACAGGCTTGAATCCACCTGCACAGCAGCTAATTGAGACAGGAACTGGAATAAGGTACAGCCAGAAACATCACAAAAGGTACCAGGACATAATTACTTCAAATAAAGTCATAAGCGAGCAGGAGAACATTGGTATCACCTTCATTTGTAATAGGCAGGCAGGAAGAAAAATAGGTTCCAACAAGTTACTGGGATAGCAATTGTCTTCGTTTAGCTGCAGCTTCAGTTTCAAAGAGTTTCCATCAGAGTGCTATGTCTCCACGCAAATTCTTGTCCTGTCTCTGCCTCCTCCCTGACTTCCCAAAGAAGCCAGGAGAAACACTACCTCAAAATATTGAGAAAATAAGAACAGAAGCAGAATTACATTCAGATGTCACCATCCATCAGTTATAAGATAAGTGCTACAGGTGGCTTTTCAGAGGATTCTATACTAAAATTTGGATGGGTTTCTGGTTACTCCCCAAAGATTCAAGAAACTTAGCGACCATGATAGATTACAAAATATCAAGGAAAAGTGTTCATTTTTTCCTGCTTCCTCCCTCTGTGGCACCACCCCCAATCTCAGGCTTCTTAAAATCACATCCTGGGTGTGACAGTCTACCTTTTCACTTCTTTCAGTCTCATCAAGGCAGAATGGCCAACTAATCTCTCTGCTGCCAAGAACTATAGCTCTCCAACCAAACATGCAGTGATGGGAAAGGGCAGATGCCAGACCACCACAGTACAATAGAACGTTGTGGAAATTCAACTTCATATCATCTACAAAAGGGATAAAAGCCAGCCAAAACATAAGGAACAGGAAGTAGAAAAGGGAATAAATCCCTAGAATTTCCTTTAAGACAGTAAGATGAAGATGGTACAAACTTATATCTGACTCACTAGTCCCAAGTGACCTGAGCTCCTCTCCCATCTGCTGTTGCTGCTATTACTCCAGGCTTATTTAGGGATGTGACAGCTTCAGGTTAACCTTACTTTTCCCTTCCCCCCAGCACACTAAGCACTGGTTATCCTGATCAGCCTAAAGGCAAGTGAGCAACCCTAAACGGATTGGGGAGATGCTATATCCAACAGCTAGGGATAGGAGAAACAGGAAAGTGCTTTTCCTCACTATCATGATCCTTTAAGTTCGGACTTGGAACTTGCCAGCCTTAGTCATGTATTTTATCCCCTTGAAGGGCTTGTACTTCTCCCCATACATGTCCAAGCGATTCACCTTCAGTCCTAAAAGCAAGCAAATATAGCATAAGACTGACTGCTGCCACAAACATAGAACTTCAGGATAAAGGAACAGAAGAGTGTACTAGAGGGGAAGAGAGCACATTTTAACAAGCAGGAAATGGAGGGGGCAAAAAAGCAAAAAAAAACCAAAAACATAAAAGCTGACAATTGCTAATTGTCAGAAGCATTCTTACAAACACAACCATACTCTAAAATTATGTATGAGGCTCTAAGCAAGAAACGCAAGAGGATGTAGACAGGCTGTTTCACAGAGCAACAGAGAATAAATCCTTTTATCTGTTGCCAAAGCACACAATTTTCAGATAGGACGTTCTGAAGAGAAGGTCTGAAAAGCTACATCAGCTACATGCAGAGTAAACACTTTCACAGAGAAGAAAACATTCAGCTTCTTCACCTGATAGTCACTTACCAGATATAGCCAGCTGCTGAATTTTAAACTGCAGGTTAATAGTTGGATTTTCATCGGGTTTTGATGTCCCAGCTTGCAGATTCATGCTTCCCTTCAGACTCGGCAGCTTCTGGGGGTTTATTTTCCCCACATCCCATGAGAGCAACTTCAAGGAACAACAAATGCAGCAGTCAAGCAGAAATACAGTAACAACCTCTAAAGAATAGTCCCTTTCCAATGACAATTTTTAACATTTCTCTATGAAATAGCTCTTTGTCTCAGTATCTTGCCTTTCAGATTGGACATACAACACACACTCCTCTCCATCCAGTCGGGTCCTCCGCTTCAGACATAGTAAAGGCTTAAGGAGCAGCTGTCTCAGAGACCCTCGTTCTCCCTCTCTTTCCAATGTTGTTCCCCAAAAGTCTACCATCAATGGTATTTCCACTATTTGTGCTACAAGCCACAATTGCTATGGGTCATAATGACATAGATAACACAGAATCACCTCCTTTCTATGAGGCTGAATCTGTGTTGCCTGATGCTCTACTGTGGATAAACTTCTAACTTACAGAAAGATAATATTGAACCAGTGGGGAGGAGGAAATCACTAACCAACTGAAATCCTCATCATTTGCAAAGGATCAAGTCTTAGCATGCAGTGCATGACAACCAGATACGCAGAAATCCGTAAACCAGTCACTAAACTACTGCCCCATCATACAACACCAGTCCTTGTACTTCCTGCACACACCATGCTACCAAAACTAAATCCATTCTGGCACTGAGCCATTTGCTGTGGGGCATAAAACAACTTCTTACGTGCAGTTGTTCAAAAACCAGGGGTATATTAAGTTCTCACCCAAGAAAAGATACTGCCTTCAGGGCATCAACATTCAAAGGAATGATCTTGAAAGGATGAATAACTCAACTTCATTTGCTGAAAGACTTACATAAATAAATTAAAATCTACTTTCTCTCACCTTTGTAACTGGGTCAAAGATGTGTGTTCCTTGTGAGGGTGTGAGGCTCATATTTAAGACACCTTTTGGCATCTGGCTAGTGACCATCACTCCCTCTATAGTCTTTCCCATAGTCTGCTTTGGCCCCACTGTGATTTCAAAGCGTCCCAGTGAGCTGCTATCACGGAAACTGATGTTGTGTTTAACATAGACAGGAATTGCCACAAGACTAGAATAAAGACAGTAACAAAGAGACCTTGTGAATTTCTTTCCTTCATCTTTGCTTTTCAGTGTTCCCAGTAAAAAGGGCAAGGACTGCAGCAGGGAAAGCAATGAGATCTATGCTCTTTATTTACCAAATCAAAGAGCAAAGTCATAATGCTGTCCTCAAGTCTTTCTTACTATTAAAAAATAAAAAATATCAAACTTTCCTTATCTTACTTTTCCACTGTCATACAAGACAGGTAAGGACACCCAATGTAATTGAGAATTGAGCAAGAGAGGGGAGAAACTTTTCACATGTCACAACCAAGATGGTAAGTAGTCCCAGGCAGAGCAACAGTACTTGAACTGCATGCTTTCAGCTCGACTTTTCCCCCCACACTCCTTTTCAACTTCTTGAGATAAGCCTGACAAAGTCTAACAAAATGCTTTAATATCTGTAACCCCAATTGCTAGTCGGTAGCCTGCTTCCAGAAAAGAGTGCAAACAGCTGACAAGAACTTGTAGTTTCATTAAAAAAGACATCGAAAAAATCAACATGAATATCAAACTAGTTTGTTTTATCTTAAAAAGAAAGTAAACACAGGAAATTAACAGCCCAGTTACTCCATACTGCCTAATTCATTCCCACTCTAGATTGTTCATCTGGTACTAGTTTTTGACAGATGCAGGTTGACCAGTAAAAAGAGACAAGAATCACTGCTCCAAACAAGGGGAAAAGACGTTTAAAAAAAAAAAAGTGCGAATTAACACACATCCCTATTTCACATGGCACAAGTAGTTACCTAATCTTTAAAAGACATTCTCCCCCGCCTCCTTCTTTCTAGTCAGGAAGATCCAAATTCCATAATCCACTACACTAAATTCACCACTTACTTCTGAGCACTGACATGGTAAGACAGCAAGCGAAAATTTCCATCAGGAGGAATAAAGGAGAGTATTCTCTCTGACTCCCAGCGCTTAAACCGTACACATGGATGAAAGCTGACATCATCCAACAACCGAGGGTTCTGAAATAAAAGAAAGCTTAAAGAAGGCAGTACTACCTAAAATAAGTACTTAAATTCTTCAATCTCCTATCCACAAAGGGCCCAGCATTTGACACTCTACACCTTTGAGCATATCTACATTGAGACATTTTAAGCCATTTGATGCTGCTACATCTGTGCAACAGCAGCACTCAATTATCATCAGTTCTAATCAGACTGCTCATTAGGAAAAAATTCTGTACCGTGAGG